TCTTACAACAAATGTTTTAACGTGCCTAATACCCAGGGTTTGGGCACAGGTTATGAACTATCTCAGGAAGTTTTTTTTTTTTTTTTTTTTTTTTTGGTATCAGGAATCCAACTCAAGACCTTGAGGTTGCAAGGCAGGTGTGGTGCCACTTAGTTAAATCCCTGGCCCTACACACACATATTAATATGTACTGGGTCACAACATACAATTTATTACTGTGGGCTACTCAGAAATACATGCCTATTCTTCATACTATATTATGAAACCTGGAAGGCAGAGACTTCATTTTATACTACTTTGCATTGCTCACAGTGTCATGCAACAAAAAATTAATTTCAGGTCATACTCAAATATATGAGGTATTCAATATATTAGTGTTCATTAAAAGTAGAGGGCTGGGGATGTAGCTCAGTGATGTGTGAGGCCCTGGGTTCAATTCCTAGCAATGGAAGGAAGAAATTCACTATAACCAAGATACTATACTTATTAAAGTAATTTGAATATTCAGTATTCTAAAATTATTACTACTTTCATGTGCAGAGCTAAGGGTTGAAACAACCCTGAAAGACTCCTAAGCCCCTTGAGATTCTTGAGTCAGATAAGAACATAATGAGCCAGGATATGAAACTGGTACAAAAACAAGGATGTTGACTTTTAAAGAAAACAACGAACACAGAAAGGATTTGAATGTCTGCTGGACAAGAAAGTAACATTCCCGGAATTGTAAAGATATATTTGACCTTTTCTCTGTAAAAATAATTAGTCACGAGATCACGAGGGGAGGAAGGGAGGGAGGCTGTGGGTAATGGAGGATATATAAAAGGCTCAATAAAGTGGGAAGGAGAAGGCCCTCGCTCTCTCCTTCTTTTCTTTTCTCTCGAGTTTGTGTTGTTTTTCTTAATCCTCACCCCTCTCCTCAGGTACTGTTCGACTAGTGATGGCTGGCTCCGTCACTTTCACACAGTAAAAAAAACTTCCAACTTTTCTAAACATCACATCAAATAAGCTACTCAAATCCCATACAATTAGCCTTAGGTGTTTTTTTGCTTTTTTGTTTCTGAAGTACTGGAGATTGAACCTAGGGGCACTCTACTATGAGCTTTATCCTTAGCCTATCCATCTGTCTGTCCATGTGTCCATCCACCTGCCCATCCACCTGCCCACCCAGGTTCTTGCTGAACTCCTCAGGCTGACCTTGAACTTGTGATTCTCCTGTCTCAGCCTCCCAAGTAGCTAATTATAGGCATGTCCCATTATGCCAGCTGTGCCCTTAGTCCTGAACAGACAAATTAATATGAAATGTATTCTAAGACTGTTGATACTATCATTTTTCAACATACTGAGAAACTAAGGCACAGATACAGATATTTAAATTTTCAACAATCATAATCTCTAGTATAGGGAAAGACAGTATAAAAACTTTTCCTACTTTCACCTCACTGGAAAGACATTTACATGAGAAAAAGGTGAACCTTTATAATTTTATAGTGTTTAAGAATGTGTTCAGAAATAGTATGATAGTTCTATTGCCTTTCTTCTATAGTGTCATAAAATACTATCTTCCTTAGGTATATGAAGTGATCTTTAAAGGGTTGTAAGCAAACAACAAACTCCCTGTAGAATTATAGAAGACATGTAAGAAATTAAGATATTTCTAAGTACTAGGATTTTATCTTTTTCTTTTCTTAGATCTTTCTGAAAACCACATAAAAGATGAGTATGATGACACAAAACTATAATCTCAGTACTCTGAGAGGTTGAGGCTCAAGGACTGCATGTTCAATCCCAGCCTGCCAACATAGCAGCTTAGGGAGGCTCTGTCTCAAAATAAAAAATAAAAAGGACTAGGGATGCAGCTCAGTGTGAAAGCAGAGTTCAATCCCCAGTATCTCAAAACAAAACAGCCTGTCTTTGTTAGTAAAGTAATATGATTAAGGGTACACTTTGTTGTCAGAAACATAATTACCAAAAATAGGGAATACAAGTGATATATCCCTAGATTATGACAGAAAGAAGGTAACTATGACATCACCGTAATAGTACTAAGTAGTGTCAAATGTACTAGGAAATGAGTTACACACATCTGAGCATGCTGGAGGGAGGCATACAGGTTAGAGTATGGAGCACAGGTGGTACTTGGGGAGCAGGCAGGGAGGGGCAGCTGCATGTGAGGTCTAACCAAGCAGACATACTGCAGGGATGGGGAGACACCCAGATCCTAGAAGAACCTGAGGTATCTGTTCCTCTGCTTCCACGAGCCTTCTAGAAGAAGTCATGATCAAGTCACAGCCAACTCCTCTTCCTCAGAAGAGGAGCACAGGCTTCCTCAGAAGAGGAGCACAGGCTTCCTAGGAAAGCAATCATCAGAAAATTTCTCTTCTGATCCTCCCTCACATACCTGACTTCTGGGGACTAGGGACCTACTGCAGACACCCAGGTGACATTAGAGAACATCAGGAGAATCAGTCCAGGTGAGTGAAGATGCTCCTCTATTCCTTCCCACACCCAAGACAATCACAGAACACAAATCTCAACACAATGCTAAACCCATGGTTCTGTGACTGACCACCTACCTCCATTAAACCTCTAATTACATTCCATCTTGTACTACTCTAACCTGTGTGCCTCGTGCAGGTCTATGTGTCCATGGCATCTCTTATTTCAAGCTCTCCACTTAAACTTAAAACTCAGACTCCTTGCTGTGGCTCACACCATCTGGCCCCTGTGCTGACTGCATCTCCTGTCACTCTCTGCCTCAGGTCTACGGCCACATCCAGCTTGCTCTTGCCCTGGCACTTTGGCACAAGCTCAGGTTAGCATGTCCTCATGTGTCCATGGCTGGCTCTTTCCTGTTATAAATTCCACTTAAGTTTAATATCCTCAGAGAGCTCCTCCCTAAATTCCCAGTCTGAACTGTGTTGTTTTGTTGAATGTGGGAATCAAATTTAGAGCCTCTTATATGCTATGTGCTCTATCACTGAGCTACACCTCCAGTCTCTAAATTCCCAATCTGAAATAGTCACACTGTAGTACTATATTTTAATTCTTTCCACAACAATTATCACTACTCGATATATCTTGTTTATATGTTCATTTATTTAATTTTGTTTCAAGCTATTATATGTAAGCTTCATAAAAGAACAGGTAACTTTATTTGTTTTGTTCGTGGCAGTCAGGACAAATCAGTTTCATGTACCAAAAAAAGAAAACTACAAACATTTTTTTTCCTTAGGGATTGAACCCAGTGAGCACTGAGCTACATCCCCACCCTTTCTTTGTTTTATTTCAAGACAAGCTCTCACTAAATTGCTCAGGGTGGCCTTGAACTTGCTGTCCTTCTGCCTCAGCCTCCTGAGTAGTGGGGATTACAGGTGTGCAACACTGTGCCTGGCTACTACAAATGTTTTAATATGATCAGTTTCATTTGGTGCAAGTTAACTTACAGTCAGGCACTGAATACTGATATTTTGGTCAATAATAACATGTATGATTGTGGTACCATAAGATTATATTGCCTAGTGATAGCAGAGTTATCTTAGTTTGTGCGAGTATATTCTATGGCAGTGATGGTGACTCTTTTAGAGCTTTCAATGATAACAAACAGCCAGCTGTGGCATGCATGCTGTAGGTTCACCACCACTGCTCTATGGTATTCAACAATGAAATTGCCTTATTATGCATTTCTTTGAATATATGTCTATTATTGACACATGACTATATATGAGCCCTTAAATTTCTGCCTAATAGTAGGCAGTGAATAATTAGTAGGCAAATACCATGTGATCTCACATGAAGACTTGTAAGTTGAGCACACATAGAAGTAGGGAGAATGATGAGCTAAGAGCAATGGGAAGGGAGGGAAGGAGGACCTGTCAATCAAAGGGTACAAAGCTTCAGGTAACCAGGAAGAACAGGTTTTTGAGATCTACGCCTCAGAAGGGTGGCTACAGTCAATAATAATGTATTTATATTTCAAAATAAATAAAAGAGTAAATTTCAGATATTTTATCATAAAAAATGTTAAGCGAGGTGATGAATGTCAGCTAGTGTGATTTAATTATACCATACTGTGTATATATATATGAAAACATCACACTGAATGCCATAAATGTAAACAATTATAACTTGTCAATCAAAAATAGTATTAATTTTAAAATAGATGAATTTTTAAAAAGTAGTAAAATAAATGAGTATCATACAAATTAATGTATACATTTATCTCCACAAGGGCAGTCAGTTACCTAGCACAGTATTAGCTACTTTTGATCCTATTAATGAAATGATTAAATAGAAAAAAAAGAAATGGTTCAAATAAAATTAAATTCTAAATTAGCAAGACTCAAAATTTGTTAATTTTCCACATTTGTATATAAATTAAGGTGGCAGCTATTTCACTTTATTTTTTTTTATTTTTTGAGACAGTATCTTGCTGTGTAGTTCAGGCTGGCTTCAAACTCACTTCAATCCTCCTGCCTCAACCTCCCAAGTGCTGGGACTAAAGGCATGCGCCACCACATCTTTACAAATGAAAACTTTAAGCCAGGCAGGGTGATGCACACCTGTAATGCCAGCACTCTGGGAAGCTGAAGCAAGTTTCAAACTTGAGTCTAGCATGGGCAACTTAACGATTCAGCGAGACCCTGTCTTGAAAATTAAAAGTAAAAAAAGGGTAGGGGGTGTAGCTCAGTATGAAGACACTGAGTTTAATCCCCAGTACCAAAAAGAAAATAAAACAAACCACAAAACCTCATAATATTTTATAAATATTAATTTGGCCAAATCATGTAAAAATCTATATTCAGTAAAAAACAAACTGCCTTTCTCAGATTCTAGTTGTGCATAGAGTCCTTCAGCATGTACTATATGTCAGGTGGTATGCTAGAATAGTGCTATTTCACAGAATAATGATCTTTGTGTACTATGGTTTTACATATTATGTGACAAAAAAGGTGACAGAATTATTCATTCACCCTATTACCTGTTTTAATATGAAGTGGAGGAAGAACACTGACATTGTGAGGTGGCAAAACACCAAGCAGCTGATTGGTGAAATAGGCGGCCATGAACCGAGCCATGGACTGGACAACTCTGACTGCTGCCTCAGGATGGACATTTCCAGGCCCTGCAGACTCACCAGGAGGCTTCTCAGCATCTAAGGAAGACAGCAAATGACCAAAGCAGATTCTGATCAAATTGTCAAAAACTAGTGATACTTGGGCCGGGCATTTAGCTCAGTGGTTCTGCCGCCTGCCTTTCAAGTGCAAGGACCCAAGTTCAATCCCTGGTACCAAAAAAACAAAAAAACAAAAAAACTAGTAATACTTAAGTCCATTATACAAGAAGGAAATTAAAAATTTTTTTTCAGAGATGAGCACCAATTGCCTACACAAACTAAGTTATCACAGGCATCCATACTTCTTAAAGACAATAAAAATTATTAGTTCATAATTATAAGCACATATACTTAGGAACTATTCACAGTTTTATTTTTTATTTTTTTGGTTTTTTAGGACAAGGTCTTCCTATGCAGTTCAGGCTGGCCTTGAACTCACTATGTAGCTCAGGCTGGCCTCAAGCTCATGGCCATCTTCCTGCCTCAGTCTCTCAAGAGCTAGGATTACAAATGTGTGCCACCACACCTGGCTAATAGTTTTATTTTTAAAATCAATGAATCTCTACAGAATAATCTAGACATGATGGACTTGCAAGCTTAGCATTTTCATTTCATTATTTATTTTCCCTTTTTCCTTTCCTTTGTTTTTTGGATGAAGGGGTAGCGTTTACTATAAAGCACAAAGACAGGAATTCTTAGTGTTTTTTCTATACCATTAAATCTGAGAATTAGTTGTAATGGCACACTAGTATTAGGTTCTTTTGGGGTAGCAGTGAAAAGAATGTGTAGGGTGTAAATTGAAAACAGTGAGGGCAGGTGGAGGTGAAGTCAATTTACATCAAAATTTCTCAGGTCCAGCTCAAGGATAGCTCAGTGGTAGAGCACGTGCTTAGTAAGCACAAAGCCCTGGGTTCAAACCCCAGTACCAGAAGAAAAGCTGCAGGGATAATTCTGAATATGCCACAATGATGTCAAGAATGGCAACTTTATACAACAAAAATGAAATTATAACTACAATGATTTAATAAGGTAAGTATGCAGAAAAGAGTTAACAGGCTTACTACTTGAAATGCCTACTTACATGGCTGGCACTTCCTCAACACCTGGGATCTTGGCTTTTGGGAAGATTTCAACCATGCTAAGAATGGCTCATTGGGCCTACACTGTTTGTAAAAACAATGTTGCTTATGCTGAACACTTGTTGTACCTCTGGGCATATGGGACTTTGTTATGTGCTCCACACAAGGGAGCTATGTGACCAGTCACCAATTAAAACACTGAGCACAGAGTTTCTAATAAGCATCCGCAGCAGACAACATCTCACATGTGCTGTCACAACTCAGCAATGGGGAATCAGGGACTTCTTGTGTGACGCTATGGGGAGAGGACTCAGCTTTCTCCAGGCCTCATCCCAGGTCCCTTTTTCTTTTGCTCATTTTGCTCTAACTCCTTTCATCATATAAATCACAGCTTTGGGTATGACTGCACACTGAGTCATGCGAGTCCTTCTAGATTGCCAAACGTGGGGAGTAGTCTCGGGAACTCTTCACCTAATAAGTATATGCTCATTATATTTTAAATAAGCATCATTAAAAATTAAAACAAATGAATTACTATACATTCAACTTATCCTGAAAGCTAAATTATCATAAAGATACTGGTGAAAAAAATCAAGAATCTCTATTTAAAAAGTCATACATAAAAAAATAAATAAATAAAAATAAAAATAAAAAGTCATACATAAAAGTCTTTCACTCATACACAGCTAGTTCATCTTTTGGAGGGGAACCTGAGAATAAAAATTAAAAGTCTTAAAATGTGGGAACTTTGATTCAGTGAAATCATTTCTAGGAATTTACCCTGCAGGGGCAGGGCAACCAACTTTTGTGTATAAGAAGTTACTTCTATAAACCCATAAATACAATTAACAAGATTATATACACAGAGTTTTAAAAAGCATACCTAAATAATCTTCATTTTCTTTTACAGGCAGTTGGGACCATCTCAGTATTTCTCTTACCAGCTGATCACATAATCCTTGAGCATCATTTAAATTATAGTTATAGAGATGGCAGTACAAGAGAGAAAGATAATAGCGAATCTGAAGAAAACAAGTTCTCCTTCCTCCTGAAACCAGAAAGAATTAAACTCACTTTAAATGCTCTTTGGCTAGTGTTAGACAGAGAAAACTGTGCAATTTATGAAAATTCATCAAGCTATACACTTACGTAAACTTTTCTACATATGTTTTATACCTCAAGAAAATACCTTTTAAAAAGAGGTCAGCAATACCTTGCTGTTTTCATTTTAAATTCTGAATAATTTTCTTTTTTTTTCTTTCTTTTCTTTTCAGGTCTTAGGATGACTAAGATTTCATCTAAAAAGACCTGCCAATTCTCATCATTTCAGCACTGAGGTCCACTAATGACTTCTATCTCAAATACAGAAGATATTAAACAGAAGGGAAAATGGTACACTCCTCGGGAATCATTGATATATATCAAAAAGATGGTCAAAGAGCTTCCTGAAGGAAAAGAAACAACAGTTCAACAAGAAAGGGGACCCTAACAACTGCCTTCAAATATCTGTTTAGGACTGAGACTGTCTGCTGCCTATCTCTTACCCATCCTTACTGAGTAAAGAATTCCAATTTTACTTTGGGCAACAATCCACCAAGATCATAATTTCTCACTAGATGTAATCATGAACCAAGTCATAATACTGTACACAACTTTCAGAAAAACTGCTTAAAGAGACATAAGTCAGTGAGGAGGTACAGTATACCCTTTTCTGTTCTAACCACCCTACTGTTGTCTGCTGCCTAGAACATGGATGTGATAGCTGGAACTCCAGCAGTCATTTTAGCCCATATAATGGCCTTAATTTTGGAAGCAATGCACTAACGATGATACAGAATAAAGTAGCTTGGGTCCTTGATGATAGTGTGGAAACACTAAAGCAGCCCTAGTCTGGTCTCCTTCTACAAGAAAGACAAATAAACTTTCTTATGAAACCACTGCCACTTTTAGTCTCCATTACAAGAAGCTATTCCTAAAGTCTACAGTTATAGATAAAATTAAAATATCCACAATGGATCTCATTGTTAAAATCTTTTCCTTTATCCAGAACTTCCCAACTCACTGGATGCCAGTTGGATAATTTCCAAATCTGAGAACAACATTAAACTGTCTTTACCAAATCTATTAAATCACAAATCCAATTAAACAAACTTATTAAATACCCAACTAATATGAACCCTATTCCACAACCCTTGACATTGTTTTGTTTCAGTCTCCGCATCTGAGTAATTTTGTTTCTGGGTAAAACCCACACCCCAACACCATGGTCCAGCAACTGACACTTCACACTGTATCAAAGTGACCTTTCCAAATGGCCTAGACAGATATTCCTTGACTTACAAGAAGGTTACCTCCCAATTAACACATTGACGACACCCTGAACTACCCAGTGGTACATGCATGAGTATCCCATTGGCTTATACCACTTGGGGCAGAAGTGGTACAGTCATGCATGGGACAATCATGCATATAACACTGGTGGTTCAAGCTGCCTCACAGCAAGGCATACAAATTACAGTACTATCATCAAAATGTCAACCCATCTTAAGCTGAAAATCCCGTAATTTGAAAACACACTTACCCTACTAAACACAGTAGCTTAGCAACACAATGCATCACACAGTATCAGTTGTTTATCCTTATGATCATGTGGGTGACTGGGAGCTGTGATTCACTGCCACTGCCAGGCATCATAAGAGAGTACTGTATATCATACACTATATACTGCCAGCCCAGGAAACGATCAACATGCAAACTTCAAAGTAAGATTTCTATTATGGGCCGGGGATTTAGCTCAGTGGCGCTGCACCGGCTTTGCAAGTACAAGGTCCTGAGTTCAATCCCCAGTATTGAAAAAAAAAAAAAAAGATTTCTACTAAATGCTTACTGCTTTCACACCATCATAAGGCTGAAAAATCTTAAGTTAAACCATCAGCAAGTTGGGGACCTTGTATATTTGTTTAAACAGGTCCCTTTCCTACCTGGCACACTATACAAGATCTTCTTTCTTCTTCTGTTCTCTATCCACATCACACCATCCTCCCACCAATATTATATGCCTATATCCTCTGTTAAACCAAACTCAGTCAAACTCCCTTAACTGGTCAATTTCTACTCCATTTAAAATGTCCATGGGCCGGGGATTTAGCTCAGTGGTTCCACTGCCTATCTCGTAACTGCAAGGACCCAAGTTCGATCCCTGGTACCAAAAGAAAAAATAAATAAAATGTACATTGTTCTAGGCTTCCCCCACACTGTGCCCCAGCATTGGACGGTGTGAAGTGCTCTACTGAGTGCCCAAGCACCTACCATATAATACAAGAATGAATGTGGACAACTTGAAGGTAAAATTGTTCGTTTCAGTTATCCTTAGCACCCAGAACAGTGTTGGAAATATAACAGGCACCCAGTAAATATTGATTTAAGTAGATGAATAAATAAAGCATACAAAGGTGACATGTAGTAGTTGGAGTCAAGAGTTTTTGTTTTTGTTTTTTTGTATATACTTTTATTGGTACATTTTAGGTGTACAATATAATGACATTCATCATTGGAGATATGCACCTTTACATACTCTCTTGGTCCTTATTTTTTGCTCCTTCCCCTGCCCTCCCTTCAACCCCTCCATCCCTGCCTATTTACAAAGACTTGGTTTCCTTTTGTTCATTTTCTCATACTAATTCCATTCCCTTCTTTCCTTTCCCCTACCCCTCCCACTTCCTCTTCCCTTTTCTTCCTATTACACATTATCCATTATACTTTTTAGTCCTTACTTACACTTTCAGTTTCTCACACTAGAGAAACTATTTGGTATTTACAAATGTGTGTCCTATTTATTTCACTTAAGAGTATCACCTCAATGTGCATCCA